TTTGATGTATGTCAAGGGTTTACAGGCGAGAGGTGGTAATAGAATACACCTCATACACCCTCCTAAGAGCCACATTTACAAATGTAAAGCAACTTAAAATCACCAATACCACCAACATTGAATCATATGCTGGAGAAGTTCAGGAAAGCTTTTTAATCTCCACACACAGGCTCATTTAATACACAACCCTCCACAGTATAAAAAGGTGTACTTTGCAGTCCCACACGGTCAGCTCCTGCTTGGTGTACTACTTGTTATGATCATAGGACATTCTCCTTTTGCATCAAACATATTGCAGTAAACAATGCAGGCTGTGGTTGACTGAACAGGACTTCATTGAAATCTTGAGAAATTTATAACATTACTAGAATGGCAGAGCATGCAAAACCTTACATAAGCTATTAGCTCATTTTAATACTTATTCCAATAGAGTTTAATTTTCTTTAACCAGTACAGTTTTGCTATTATTCCCCAAGAATAGTGCTGTGCTGCCCCCTAGTGACCCAAAAAAAACCCACTAACACCCTCCTGAGCATCAAACCCAACGTGTAATTAAATAAAGCTGTGAAACAGAATAAAAAAAAAAAAACTGACTGAGCCACTAAATCCAAATATGTGAAACATCAAAAATAAACCATAATCAAAAATGTAAAAACCGTAAATAAAACATGATCACAATAGCAGGAAACACTTGGCAAAGCTGAAGCATAAAGTGTGAAAACCAAAACCAGTATTAAAAGACTGTAAAACAAATGCCTGGCAGAGCAATCAACCCCCAGTGGAATAAATATGTGACGAATCAAGTAAATGTTCAACTGGGCTAGTTATTCACAAAGGGCGTAAAACAACAAAAAAAAAAAGTTGTACTGAATATATACTAAAAACATAAATGGTGAATGATAGATAACACTTAAAGTGCAAAATGCAGTCCAAAAGTGGCATAACAGTATTTCAACAATTAAAGTAATGCACCGACTTCAACAGGTATGCAAATCTATTGCGCTCCTCCACCTTCAGGCATGCACTCACCGTAACAGCTGACCCACAGAAAATATAGGTTAACATGCGCCCAAATATTAATCCTAACTGGATCCTCTGCTTCCACAGGTCTCTCCAGGCACTCTCAGGAACAATCCTTTACACCCCCACTCCAATGGATAGGTGCTCAAAAGATAAAAAGGAACTACCTATAGTGTAGTAAGGCTTTATTACCATAAAAATGTATTTAAAAAATGCTACTCTCATAGATACAAAAAGGTCCACAGAACCCATTACAAGCATTTAAAGGAAAAAAAAAAAAATGGGTGAACACAGATAGCAGCTCCCACATGCACCAGAAAGGACATCACAAGCTTCTGTTCTACGCATTACGCCACGAGTCACGTGGCTTCTTCAGGAATAGAAAACGAGTGACAAACGCTGATTTATATAAGCAATGAGAATCGATATGCAAATTTTGTTTGCATATCAATTATTGCTTACACAAGTCATTTGTCACTCGCTTCCGATCCCTGAAGAAGCCACGGAAATTGTGGCGTAACGCGTAGGACGGAAGCTTGCGATGTCTTTTTTGGTACATTCGAGAGCTGCCATCTGTGTTCACCTTGCTTTTCCCTTAAATACTTGTAATAGATACAAGGTTCACAGAACCTTGTATCTATGCGAGTGGCATTTTTTATACATTTTCTTTTCCAATTTTATTATACACTTTTTGTGAATATATAAGCCCAGTTGAACATATACTGGAGTCACATTTATTTCACTGGGGGGCTGATTGCTCAGCTGGGCATTCGTTTTACAATTATTTAATACTGTTTTAGTTGATTTTCACACTTTATGCTTCAGCTCAGCTGGGTTTTACCGCTACTGTGATCATGTTTTATTTATGATATACGTTTCACATATTTACGGTTTTGTTGGTTTTTATACTTTATTTTTCAGCTCAGATGGGTGTTTATAGGTTGGCCAGGTGTTACTGCTACTTCAGTGTTTATTTTTGATACATGTTTCACATATAAATTTGGATTGAGTGGCTCAGCCAGTTTTTTTTTTTTTTTTTTTTTACTATTGACTGTCATAGATTTATTCAATTACACATAGGGTTTGATGCTCAGGAGGGTGTTCATTTGTGTATTTCTTTGGTCACTAGAGGGCAGCTTTGTGGCAGCGCACGAGTATTATATCCCTATATTTTGTGCTACTAAAATGCATTTGTCAATATTTAAGAGTTTAATGTATGCAAATATAGCAAAACCACTCATTGTGTAGGGAACAAATTATTACCAGAAATGTCAATTCTCCATGTTTCAGTTAGCCTGGAGGCTTGTTGTAAGAACACTGTCACTCTGTAGCTCAATAAAATGGCCTGTACATTATCATACTAGCACAGAGCACATATTTCCAGGAATTCTGCATTTCACCATGAAAAAAGTCACATCCCATTACACTGGCAAAAACTATGGAAGATAGACCACAAAACTCAGGGGCAAAGTATAGCATTAGGAAAAGGTTTCTTCAAATAACCATGTGACAAAATAAAAACTATGCTTGAATTAAATCAGTTTTAGGTATAATTATGTTGACTTTAAGGTCTTGTTCATACCAGCATTAAAAAATGGAGTTTGGAGCACATTTTTTACTCTCCTGAAACTCCTAGTAAAGCAGTCTGCAATTGATAAAATGGACAGCACATAGTGTTGTTCACATTATCACAACATGAAGCGTTTCATCACTACACTTCAACTTCTTCCAAACTCCACACGAGACTTCATTTTTGAGGCATATTAACTCCTATTCAAATCTATGGTAATGCACCATAAACACATCGGCATGTGTTTGAGGAGTTTCTGATGCATTTGTGGCATGTTAGGCCTTGTTCACAGCAGCCAATAAAAACCCTAGGCATCTGGGGTGCATTTTTAATGCTAGTCAAACATGCATAGGGCGCTTGGGGAACATTTTTAACCTGCCTTTGAGGTTTGCGTTACTTTTAACAAATATTAAACAACTCACGTTAACATTATATGGGGGGGTGTATGCCTCAGTATTTTGAAGTGTAAATAAGATTTAAAATAATTAAAAAAAAAAAACAAGGGGGAGAAGGGGGTTGTTTGGGAGTAGATGGTCATATGTTGACAAGTGTTCTGCTTTGTCAACTCTTTCCAGCTTTGAGCAAATAAAATCAGCAAGGTTATTTTTTTCCTATCCTTGTATCTGAAAACTAGGGGAGAAGAAAAGAAAAGAAAAAAAAAAAAAAAATAGATTAGGAGGCATTGCTCCGGCTCTGCAAGCTGCTAGAGCCTCATGTCAGCATGCAATGCCACCATATAGATAAACCAATTAAAAATTCACTTGTGTCTGTCCTAACCAAGCAAACCCTATTACTTTCAGCATTATGCCGCCTAATTTTTAGCGCCCTAAGTCACATTTACGGCCTGTTTATATACGCTAAGGATATTCCAGTTTTAAGAAAAAGGGAGGAACTAAAGTGGCACAGACAGCTTTTTATTGTGAAATGAAAAAACAACAGTACTGCTTTTATTCATTCATGATAAGTCATCTAGAGATTAAACTTGTCGTTTGCACTAAAATACGTATTTTGTAAACAGCAGAGCAAATAATCCTTTCGATCTAAAGAACATCCCACAAGGAAAAAAAAAAAAAAAAAAAAAAAATATATCACTTTTAAACAAGCTTCACGACACCAGTCCCCCATGCCAATGGCCAAGCAGGATTCTGTCGTGGAAAATTAGTACGGCCGTGTGAGCTTTCACCAAGTTCTGATCGTGCCAACCACACATTATAAGTGGGTTGATAGCTGTCACCAGCAGAATGTTGCAGAGTTCAGTAAAAACCTATTAAATAAGATACCATGAACGTTGAGTGTTAACGTGACCAGTAAACTTTAAATCACAATAACCCCTCCTCAGCCAGTCAATACCAGTTGTAATTTCTACCCAGGAAGGGCAGAAGCCAATTCTGCTTATGATACTACGCCGATTTAAACAACTTTAAAAGAACAGAGAAAAAAATATTTTTGTTCTTGTGAACTTTACACTATCATTTGACGTCAAACAGAACAAAATCCATACTTTATATACACACACACACACATTTCTTGAATTTACAAAGAAAGTAAGGTTGCAAACATTGATTAATTCAGGCTGCTAACAAATTGGTTTATGCAACTTTATTGAAGAATAAAGACTAACAGAGCTATTAGTTGATCAGTCATCCATTGACGCTTGAATTGTTTTATTCAGTGCTATATTAACAGTGTTTGGAAGATAGATCAACTAATAGCTCGGCCTCCAAAAAAAAAAAAATTCTCAATGAAAAATTACAAAACTTTTGATCCTGTTATTAAATGGGGTTTCACCTTCCAATTTCAATTTGTCATATTTATTGACATGCATAAAATACATTACTTCTGTTCCGCTATATAAATTTCACCAACTCGCCACCCAAACATCAGTTATGAGCATAAAGTACATCATGAAGTCTGAAATAGCTGAAGGGTTTGACCAAAATATCCAGAGCAATTCCATGGTCCTGTATTCTACAATGACAACTGGGCATTGTTTTTGTTTAATTTATTTCTGCTTAGCACCTTCCCCTCCCTAGCCCAAACAGAGGCGCTATCTTCACCATTTCAGTGAGAAATGAAAGATGGATTTAGTCTCATAACCAAGTTACGGTGAAGACATTGGCCACATTTTAACACATGCTCCGTTTGATACAATTATGAATCTTGGGCAATTGTATTCTGGTAACTACTTGACAGTCTAGAGCAGTTTCTGTCCAATATTGAGCTAAAAGTCTTCCCATGTGAGCATGTGCATGAAGGGAGGCAGCACGAAAAAAAAAAAAAAAATTAAAAAAAAAAAAAAAAAAAAATAGAGAGGGGAAGGTAAGTAGATGAGGTCTGAAAGGGAGGGGAAAACAGTAATTTAAAGTTTATTCCAGCTATAATGCAGGTTTATTCAGACTTGAAGGTAGCATCACATAGCATATTTCTGAGTCCATTCCCGGGCTATTCTGTTGTACCTGGAAAAAATTACACAAAAGAAAAAAAAAAAAAAAAAAAAAAAAAAGAAGACAATCAAAAAAGTCACATGCATTTCAATCCTAAAAATCACATCTAAATAACAGCTTGGCAATTGCTTTTTACATGGGTCAAAAATTACTACTTTTGCTAGCAATGCAAACAATACAAGTATTCCTATGAAGTATCAGGTACAACAAGGTTAATCGAAAAGCATTTACTTACTAAAAGAACTGTATAATGAGCAAATGTCATTGTTCATTAGAGAATTATAGTTTTGCTAAAGCCTGCTGTGGGCTGGCAGCAGAGCTGGTTCAGGCTCTGAAAGAACTGTCATATGGTCAGGATCCACGTAGAAACCTGGACCAACACCTGGCTCAGGTTCTCAGAATCCGCTCAGAGCTTGAGCCAGCCTCTCCCATTCCCTCCACAGCCCAGCACTCCAGTGACCATGAAGGGCAGAGCAGAGAGCCATAGATGGACAATCACCGCTCTCTACTCAGAGAAGGAGGGGGAGAACTGTGCAATCATCAATTTAATTGCTCAGTTCTCTGTGCAGAGCCACCAGGGGACAGATGTAGCTCCAAATTGATCCTGTCATCAACCTAGTTGAGAATAATGTATGTTGGTTTTTAAACTCCATACTTCTTTTAAAAACAGACCTGGCATTAAAAGCTCTTAAAGAGACCATAACTGTTAGGTCCCCTTGATACAAAGTAAATGCTATATGAATCATCTGCCCTAACTCAAGAAGGCCACAAGAAATGCTAGAGTGGTGTTTTTCTAAGTGGTTTTTCAGCAAAATAAAGCATCGAGACATGGATGAATGGGTGAGTTTGCTTTAAATATATTAAAAAGGACTTGAACGGCGCTTCTGATTTGTGGCGCTCCGATACAGTGTAGTTCCTCCAAGTGTTTTTTTTTTTTTTTCACATTCATGTGTAGGCAAACTCCAATAACAGCATGCTCTACACAAGACTGGAAAAACACCTATGAAAATTAACCTGATGGTTTAACGTCCAATCAAAATGCGTGTCAATGTGCAAGAAAGCGGACCACTACATGTGAAATGTGCACGAGCTTTATATTGAAAATACAGAAGGTAAAAAATACACAAGAAAGGCATATTTCCAACCTTCATGTTCCCTCAATTACATTCTGAGTGTGCAAAGGCCAAAAAGGCATGTTACAGAAAGTCCATGTACTCATCTCTAGTGGAATTCTGAACTTTACTCCAATGAGCTATTGTCCACACTGCAGCATGTCAACAAAGAGGTGGGTGTGGCCCACAGTTCAGAGGAGCAAATAAAGGATACACTATATTGTAAAAATATATTGTATTGGGATGCCTGCCTTTACACATACATTAACTTTAATGGCTTCCCAGTCTTAGTCCATAGGGTTATATATTGAGTTGGCCACCCTTTGCAGCTATAAGCTTCAACTCTTCTAGGAAGGCTGTCCACAAGGTTTAGGAGACTGTCTATGGGGAAAGTTTGACCATTCTTCCAGAAGCGCATTTGTGAGGTCAGGCACTGATGTCAGGCAAGAAGGTCTGGCTTGCAGTCTCCACTCTTATTCATCTTAAAGGTGTTCTATTGGGTTGAGGTCATAATTCTGTGCAAGCCAATTAAGTTCCTCCACCCCAAACCCACTCATCCATGTCTTTATGAACCTGGCTTTGTGCACTGGTGCATAGTCATGTTGTAACAGGAACGGGCCATCCCCAAAAACTGTTCCCACAAAGTTGGGAGCATGAAATTGTCTTGGTACGCTGATGCCTTAAGAGTTCCCTTCACTGGAACTAAGGGGCCAAGCCCAACCCCTCAAAGACAACCCCACACCATAAATCACCCCTCCACCAAACTTTTTACTTGAAATAGAAAAACATAAGTGGAAAAAGCACCAAAAGATTTTTCTTATATAAATACCAGATTAACACAAGCTGCTAAACATTACCCTTAAAATAAAGGTTACAATAATACAACAGAAAAGGCAGCGCTACTATCAAATTAAATGTACAAATTAAATAGTGATAAAAAATTATATGTGACCAAAAAATGTCAGAATATTTTCTTTCCATCGACAGTGAATAACGTCCATCACCATAAAACCAATTTGTGCAAATCCACCACCAACAGAAATGGATAAATTCACCAGAGCAAATTGCCAGTTAAAATAGAATTGCACTTCTTTGCTCTGGGAGCAATACTCTGCAGGCAGACTCAGCGGTGACCAGCTTGTCAAATCATTTCACTCAGCTTATTTGTGTAATACTCTGCAGGCCAGGGAGACCCAGATATCCACTTATTTTTTATGTATCCTATTTGGGAGCAATACTCTGCAGATCTATGAACTCAGCAGCGAAATCCTCCAGAGTATTGCTCCCAAATAGGATATATATATAAATATATATAAATAAGTGTCTGGATATCTGGGTCTCCCTGGCCTGCAGAGTCTTACACCAATAAGCTGAGAGTGAAATGATTTTACAAGCTGGTCACCGCTGAGTCTGCCTGCAGAGTATTGCTCCCTGAGCAAAGAAGTGCAATTGCTGGTTCATAATTTAACTTACAATTTGCTCTGGTGAGTTTATCCATTTCTGTTGGTGGTGGATTTGCACAGATTGGTTTTGTGGTGATGGACATTGTTCACTGTTGATGGAAAGAAAATATTCTCAGACATTTTTTGGTCACATATAATTTTTTATCACATTTAATTTTTATCACCATTTAATCTGTACATTTAATTTGATAGTAGCGCTACCCTGTTTTATTATTGTAACCTTTGTTTTAAGGGTAAGGTTTAGTAGCTTGTGTTAATCTGGTTTATATAAGAACATCTTTTGGCGCTTTTTCCACTTATATGTTTTTCTATTGCAAGTGTAAAGTTTGGTGGAGGGCTAATTACAGTGTGGGTGAGAGGGGACAGGGCTGAGCCGCAACTCCGCGTGTTAACGTACACACGGAACTGTGGCTGGAGACTGCGCATGCTCAGTTGCCCCCATAGCAAGCTGCTTGCTGAGGGGGCATCCGACAGGAGGGAGGGGCCAGGAGCACCGGCGGGGGACCAGAGAAGAGTATTCAAGCTGCTCTGTGCAAAACCACTGCACACAGCAGGTAAGTAGACTTTTTTTTTCATCCTTTAGAATCACTTTAAAACCACTAGAACAGTATGGCAACCAACAAACTAGCATTCTCGCTAGAGGTCAGTACAGTCATTTTTATCACACAAGAGAAGATGAAAGCTAAAGCAGCCAATCACCTATCTCTCCCGACAGGGCAGATAAGTACTTTTCTTCCTTGTTCTACTCTGTGTTGCATACTCAGTTGTATCATACATTGATAACTTTCACATCTTCCGTCTCCCATTTCCAAATAGGCACCTGGGATTTTAAGGTCTAACCTGGGACTCTAGCTCTGGCAGTCACGGTGATAACCTAAAGATGCTGGAGAACAGTCGGTGGGCAATTTGACAAAATTAGCTTGCTAAGCACGTAAACAAAAAGGATCTGGACTGAACACGACAGGTCTAGACCAAAGAAAAGGTTTCAAACAAGGCAACTTCTTTGACAAACATTTGGCTTCATTTTAATGCAAGCCATACACTAGTCAAAAAGTCATTCAAAAGGGGGTTTTTGAAAAATAAACAAATGGTCATGAGAGCAAACAATATTGCCATATTATGACCAAATGTCAAAAGAAATATCGTTCAATGGACATCAGTTTTTTCTTTTTTTGGGCCACATACGCAGTACCAACAGTTAGATTTTTAAGGGGCGAGATACCATTAACCTTTCCATTTATCAGTCTTTTTAGCACAAGTTTTCCAAATTATTCCTTTGATTTTTTTTTTATTAGCTCAAAAACGTCACTACTGATTTTTGATTTGTACCCATTAAAAATGAACTGTCCAAACAACAGATTTTCAAACGATTTGTCTAGTGTACAGCCACCATAACATTTTATTAGCATCTGTGATGCTAAATTAATCCCCCCCCCCATTACTGGCAGATAGGACGCAATGGTTAATATTAAATAGTGTGCTTTTATTAGTCCAATTTAACAGGTCTTTAAGCAATACTAATGCCATATCACTGTATAATGTATACACAATAACACGAAAAACATGAGTTTTGGACAGAGTGGAGAGGGTTCAGACAGCATGTCTAGTTTAAGGTGTGTGTCACTTTGGAAAGATTTCCTCACTTCCCGTTTTGGCAACAGGACAGGAAATGAAGGGATATCTCCCCATTGGAACATGGCGACCCCCCCCCCCCCCCCCCCCCCCCAAAGAAAAAACCCACAGAGGTTTATATGCCTCTCTTACTCTATCTAAAATTAATGTTTTGTCTTCAGCTCTGATTTAATTGCTGCACACTAGAGTACACCACAAAAGTTTATTTTAAACCACGTACAGTAAAAATGATCTTTCCAAAGTATAGATTACAAAAACAGAATTTTGCCTTGGCAGTAAACTCCTTACCTTGAGTCCAGTACAGGGCACAGGCAAAGTGGTGGCTTTACACACCTGAGGCAATGAGGCCTGATGCAGAAAAACCCAGAAAACTACCACCAATCTGGAGGAATGAGTGCGTAAAAGCTCAGGAGATTTGCAAAAAGGGCAGTCCGACAAACTGGAAGCGATTTTCTGTCAGTACACAGCCCAAAAAGGATAGAGGATAAATGAGAATATGTATGCTGCACTACCACCGCAGGGGCCACTTGATAATGCTTGTCCCCAGATGTTGCCCTGACCTTGCAAGCCTTCTGACACACTGGGTTCACACATTTCAACAATATGGAATAATGCAAGAGACAGGATTCTTTAGTAACACCACTATATTAGGCTCATTCAAAAGAGAGTAGACCACAGAAGATTTAGGAGGTACATCCCCAGTTAACGCATAAATGCAAAACACTGAAAATGGAAATATCCAAATAGCAACGGTGAACAGACTATACGGTCACAAATGGTACAATGTAACTGCAACAGCAGGAGG